CTTAGTATACATGTATATGTTAGTTGTGGTTTAGAGTTCCCACTTAGTAACGATAAGAAACAAACGTTTAAACACAGTACAGTGTTACTGCTTTAGGAGATTCTTGATAAAAACTACTGCAAGTTAAACATGATAGACAAATGATTTGTTAAAGTTGACAAAAAATGAAAGCATTTTATTGAAATTCCAAAAATATGATTCAATAAAAAATTAAATACTTTATAACTTAAAAACGTTCTCGTTAAACATTTATTAGTAGGTTATGTTTATTTGTTGTACATATAGAACCATTATTTAAGTATATACGTTACTTCTCTACACTCCCGCTGTCATTGAAAGTCTAGATCTAGCTTTTGATTATGTTTCTTGGAAGGAGAATATTTTCTCTTTTTTAATTAGTGAATGTTTGTATTATCTAATAAAGCATCGCCATTAGTATTGTAATAAGAACTAATAGATACTTTATTTATATTATTTAATGAAAAACGAAACGATATGTATTAATTGTTAGTTATAATTATTTATTGTGAATTATTAAACATTTGTGTTAAAGTAAACTTAGTGCTAATGCATCATATTTTTCCATGTATATTATTTTAACAGCTTAAATTGTTATTTTCAGTTAATAAAAGTGCTTGGAAAAAATTCTTCAAGGTCAGATTTCTTTCAAAATCTAAGAAGTGATCCCAGGTTTTTCTTTAAAACAAAAGTAAGTATTTTTGACTGGAATATCATATTATTGGAGCGCATATTTTTTCACCAACGACTTTATTGGCCGAAATATTTCCTCACCACTGAATATGGTGTGGTCAACATATTTTTACACATTTTTCATTGATATTTAGCGTAACGAATATATTGTTAAGAAGAACTATTTTTGACTTACCGAATTGTAAGTGTCATACTTCAAATTAATATTTCAATTAAACAAGTCATAGTATATTTCGAAGGTAATAATTATAACTGTCCGCTTCAAAAGTATTCCCTATGACAAAGGGTTAGAAGACTAACTTTTTATTTAGTCTTAAACTCATGTGAGATAACTACTGAGAGATTTTTTGGTATTTCAGGAGGATCTTCTAAATGCTTACAAAGATACTGTTGATAACATCATTAGGCCGAAGCTTCCACTAGTTTTCAAGAACATTCCTAAGGCCAAGTTAATGTATGTATTATAAGGTGTATATTAGATTTAGTAATCATAATCCTTCTATGATATGCTATATTAAACAGTATTATATCTTGTAGTAAAGGAGCCTGTATATTGTATAACTTTAAAAATTCGATGTGGTTTTAACGATCCTCAAAAAAAGAAAAAGAAAAAAAGGAAATTTATTTGCTTACTTTTCTCTAAATCGAAACATTCATGATTTTAAATGACTGAGATATTATAGTAACCAGCTCTCAGACACCTTAGAGCATATTATATGTTATTTGTTAAGAATGAACCGGTCCTTGAGTAGGCCTGCTTTGGAAATGTGTATTATTTTACGTGAAGTAGTAATATTTATCCCTGAATAATACTTACAGTGATTACGCTTATAACTACATCTTACTCTTCTACGAGATGCTACACTGAACGATTTTACAATCAGTGCATTGTAACAATTTAATTAAATGTTTAGCTCGAAATTTAATGTAAAAGAATGGAGATTTTTTGGATTGTTTTTGAAAATAGCTTTGAATACATTCTCTGTAAATTACACCGATAATCAGTAGTAGCTGGTAACGTACGTTATATTGTCAATTAATTAATTATATTTATCATTTTATGTATACTTCCATACGTAATTTGTGAATAATTATAATTTTTGTTCTGTTAATATATTAGCTTCTTTTTCATAACAAAAACCCAAAATCTTAGCTACTAGAAGTTACAACTTGTGTTGTTCGTCCTTCCCTAGATCAACGGTAGGAAACAGCCCAGAAGTAGAATTGCTATAACGTTTTTAAAAGACAAATTACATAAAACATTAGAAATGTCAAGTTTATAGTTTTCATCCTTGATATCGTTTTTCGAGTATTAAAATACAATATTCTGGAATATTTTTTAGTTAATGATCAATATGAACTTCTGATCAAAGCAAGTTTCTTACAAGAATCAGAACTAAAGATCAATCCAGTAATGAGTGTACAGCTTATTCGATATATTTCTATTACGTTCTTGTTTATAATGATTATGATTCATTGTTTCTTCAGTGGGTACCCTCACTGTTGTGTTTGTTAATGTTTGATGATAATGATGATACAGTAATATCAATACACACCAGACTGGGCCCGGCATGGCCAGGTGGCTAGGGCGCTCGACTCGCAATCTGAAGGTCGCGGGTTCGAATCCCCGACACACCAAACATGCTCGCCCTTTCAGCCGTGGGGGCGTTATAATGTGACGGTCAATCCCACTATTCGTTGGTAAAAGAGTTGCCCAAGAGTAGGCAGTGGGTAGTGATGACTAGCTGCCTTCCCTCTAGTCTTACACTGCTAAATTAGGGACGCTAGCGCAGATAGCCCTCGAGTAGCTTTGCGCGAAATTCAAAAAACAAACAAACAAACACACCAGACAACATCAAAGAGAAACACCAATAACGAAATAATATTTTAACCAATCAAAGAATATAATATTAAATTATTTATTTTATATGTGTATTTCCTATTAACCAATACACCTGACTCCTAAGATATGTGTACAGTAAGGACATAATTGTAATCCCGATTTATTCATAGTAAATTAATGCGAGGGTAAGGCTCACTTTTGTAATGTTTGTTATAGAATCATCTATTCCGGTTTAAGTTTGATGGTTTGAAATCACTGCCATGATAAATATGAAATTATGTAAAGACACATTCAATTTACTTCTGTGATTCTAATTATATTTTCAAACAATCTTCACTATTTCTTTTTACCTTCTCAACAGAATTCTAAATAAACACTATATCATTATTACTGAAGTTTTATAGATTTACTGAGTTATATGGCCATTATTAAGATGAAGAAAATATTATTTTTATATTAATGACGAATGTTGTTTAAATTACCAATTTGTTGTTGTCGTGATTCTCAAGTTATTGATTATGTCTTGCAGTGTTGTTCCAATTCCTCTTGAACATGTTGGTGGTACTAAGGCTTATTATCAAGGTTCACCTGAAGACAGTAGTAAACCGGGGAAGTTTTTCATAAACGCTGTAGCACTGAACATAACGTGTGTTTTCATTTGCTTTATCGTTTCAATGCTTAACTTACTAGTTAGTAATAAAAATAGAGACAATTCAAAACAGTAATAAACATTTCAGTTACTCCCGAAAAGTGATTGTATGATAAAACTATTTTTCTCTGCTGTGAAATTATACTAAATTTTTATATTTATAAAACAATAATATTACTTAATTAATAATAATTATGCACTTTATTATTAACAGGAAATTACAACCAATTTTATACGACATCTTTACCAATTCTTAATTATTTTTTGTTGTTGTACTATTCTATAATAAGGCCGAAATATGAAATGATGACCCTCTCCCTCCATGAAGGTGAACCTGGCCATCATCTCCAGGTAAGATGTACCCTTGTCTTGATATAATTCTGACTGTTAGTATTGTTAATTCTATTAAAGGAGTCAAATCTTATACGTGGGTCGATTGTTTCTGGTCATTATAATATTACTTGAATTTTATTACTTGTAGTTTTGACTGAATTAATTATATCATCCGTCTTCAATTTTGAATAATAAAAAGTAGGTCCTAAAGGGGTAACTATTTCGTATAAGAGAATAAAGTAAATTACATTTGTAACAAAAATTTAAGCAAAATTAAAACTTTTCTTTGTCATCACTTCCATTTGACACTGAACTATGCTTTGATATTATCTGTTACTGCTTACATAGATGAAATTACGAGCGCAGGTTTTCTGTATCTGTATTTTCAGAAAGCATTTAAAAATGTGGCATATAAAAGACTTGTTAAGAAAGTTATCTCTGTAAATGTAGGAGATACGTTGGTCCTTTTGTAAAGCGGAAGTAACCTCCTCACAGCCAGCAACATCTAAAACTTTAATGTCATCAGCAAATTTAAATAATCTATTCATCATTCCTTCGTCTAAGTCATTGACCAAAAGTCTTAAGTGAACCTTGAAGTACCCCACTCGTGATACTAATCCAGTTATACTAAAATCAGTTAATAAAAACCATCATCTTACTTCTATCTAGCCAGTTTTTATGTAATGAGTTTGGATTATTTGGTGAGGTGAACGAATAAATGACAGATAATTTTGATAATAATAAATGCAAGGTAATACGTGTGGGATGTCACAATTTGAATTATAAGTATACATTTTTATAAGAATAACCTTGGCAGTGTTATAAAAGACAAAAATATCTTGATTTTCTGGTTTATCAGTCTCTAAAGCTATTTCAGGAATGTGCTGTTGTTAGCGGCACAGCAGATAAGAAATACTGAATACTAGTCTCAAGAGGTTATAATGTTATTGTATAGGTCACATTTCTAGTACCGTGTTCAGTCTATGGATCCTTACCTTAAAAAGGACATTGAATTGTTGAAAGGGTTCAAAGGAGGGATACTAGGATGGAAAGGTTAGCATACGAGAATATGTTAAGATCTTTGAACTTGTTTTGTATCGAAAAAAAAAAGGAGAGTTAGAAGGAATCTGATTGAAATATTTAAGATTCTTAAGTAAATTAATAATGTTGACGCATCATCTTTTTTTCGTATTTAATTATGAGAATGGTAAAAATAGGGGACATAAATATAAATTGTGGCAGGGTAGGAGACATCTTCAGCTAAGACTGTGGTTGGCCTTTTAACAGGTTGCCTTCAGATGTCATAGATACAGTTAATGTATGTTAGTTGATTACCTTTTACGTTCTAGAGTTTAGCTTAATTTAGTGGATAGGACGGCCTATATGGACCAAAAGGTCCGCTGTTGTCCTTTAATATTATATAATGTATCAACAACGCATCATTACATTACATAGTAATATATTTTACTCTGTTGTTAAAGAAAATACATCCAAGGCCCAGTGATTTGAGAAATACCCAATAATTTTTATTTACCTTGTTTCCACATCATCTAACTATATTTTGTTGGATTCCAACTTTGACTGGGCGTGGCCTCAATAATCTATCAAACAAGAGTTGACAGTGGAGCTGTTGAATATCTGTCTTCTCCTTTAGTCAATTATTTACAGTTAGGGACAGATATTTACAGGTGGCTCTGGGGAAAAAGTATAATCAAATCAAACGTTTCCTTGTCGATATATTTTATTCGTCTTTGTTTGATTCTAGATAGGCTTGTTTTTCCTGATTATCTTACTTTATTTTGTTTGTTTCCAGATTACCTACAATAAGGAACAAAAAGATATACCTTCCTTCAGACGCTATGTTGAGTACGGCAAAATATCAGACGTTCCTTCGCATTTTCCATTCTACACAGCTTTTATTGAGGTAAACAGATTTAAACTTATAATTTTCGTTTATTTCATAGTGCTGTAGCATATGTAAGTGAGCACTTCCAAAAACAATAATGTTCTTCGAAATATCTACAATATTTCAACGCCTATGATATATATAATTCTTGTAAACATGAACCTTTCGAACATGGAAAAAGAGAAGCTACCAGGTATTGATGGTTCTGTTTTTTCAGTTGTGTAAACAATAATGTTCTTCGTAATACCTACAATATTTCAACGCCCATGATATACATAATTCTTGTAAACATGAACCCTTTTGAACATGGAAAAAGAGAAGCTACCAGGTATTGATGGTTCTGTTTTTCAGTTGTGTATTTATGTTATATTGAGTGTGTTTTTGTTATACAAAGCTACATTAAGCTATCTGCTCTATCCACCAAGGGGGATCGAACCACTAATTTTAGCGCTGTAAATCCGAAGACATACCACTGTCCTACCAAGGAACTATGCTGTACTGCATATTGATGTTATGGCAAGACTGCTTATTTACTAAGCCAGGGCATTATACTTTACTGATTTTATAATTTGATTACATATTAATGGGTCTTAATGAGAATAATGATCGTGAAAAAGCAAATCGTATTTTATGCATTATTTTTACTGATTTTAGTAAAAGCAAATACCAATATAGCTCACAACTAAAAATCAACTCTTTTAGGTAATTTGATATTTTATAATTATTCAAAAGCCTGATTTATCAGTTTCATACCCTCGATATTAGCGATGTTCATATTTACTAACAACTACGTGGCCCCCCAGTGCCACAGCGGTATGTCTGCGGACTTACAACGCTAGAAACCGGGTTTCGATACCCCTGGTGGGCAGAGCACAGATAGCCCTTTGTGTAGCCTTGTGCTTAATAACTAACAACAAAACAACAACAACAACTACGTGAGCTATTATAAAACAAATTATGTTGACTCTTAAGATTAAATATATATATATATATATATATGCATATTACCCGATTTAAAAATAAGTATTGTTCAATATGTAATTCTCATAAAGTTTTAAAATTAAAACAATATCACAAAATATAACAAAGTCATATAAAGTTATCGTATTTTACACTTAATATGAAATCCTTGGATCAAACCATTTCACTAGCAGATATTTAATTTATAACGTCATCAGACAAATGATTACTTATATATTATTATTATTAGAGAATTGTATACCTTACAATTTACAAAAGACCCTATTAAGTTGGTATCATTATATATATAGGTGTAGACTGAAATAGTTGACTACATTATAGGCTTTACTAAGGCCTAAGGCCACGTGGTGGGGTCACGTGTTTTAACCACTCGTGCCAATATACAGTAGTGTGTTGTCTGTCAGTCAGTCAGAAGTCATAGCATGACACATGAACTTCAAAAGCAGGAAATAAAAAGTATTTGTTATTCTTAATTTTGGTTTTATTTACTCTCGAAACAGAACACTTTCGGGAATCCTGTGCAAATACATCTAGCAATTAACTAAATAATGTTTTCAAGCTGTTAACTAGAAACAGTTATTGTTATACAGATGTCTTTAATTAGAGAGATAGATAAAACAATAATATTAAATATACAACACTGTTACTAAAGCTAAGTGGTTTTAAGTACAATATAGGCTTCATATATAAGATAAGCACCAATTTATATGCTTGGGTCATCTGCAACCTCTACTCGTAAAAACTGTCTCCTATTTTAAGATCTGAAAACAATATGAATAAACAACTACGTCAAGTCTCCCAATGGACTTACAACGCTAGAAACAGGGTTTCGATACCCGCGGTGGGCAGAACACAGACAGCCCATTGTTTAGGTTATTGCTTAACTACAAATAAGTTCAACAAATGACTATGTTAAACTCACTCCGGAATAACTCGATCTTCTCATGCTTTGACAGCGCCATATTTAGTCACGTATCTGATATTAAGAACAGCTAGAAATCGCTTATGGTTCCAGACTTTTCTGACACCCTATATATGAAGAAATACTGAAGACTACACCCTAGATTAAAAACACCTCTAAGTTATACTTGTGAACACTCTATGAAGTAGGATCTATAACTGTTTTTAACATATAAAGAATATAAGAATATTTCTCAGAATATATAGTAAAATTATAAAAATGAAATATTTTCGAATTTCGTACATTGATGTTTTTCTTTGTTTAAATAGTTAATCAGCTAGATACGAAAACTTTTTTTTTGCATGAGAATTTCTTTATGTTTTAAAATTGTTGTGTGGTTTGATATTTTATATGCGCGATGAACTAAGAGTTTAATCAAAATTTATTTCAACAACGTTTATATAAAAGTTGGAAAATCAAAATAAAAAAGTCCAATAAATATATTGTGGTTATCAAACATACCATATGTTTCCTATCCCCTTATGTGACATAAAAATAAAAATAAAAACTTGCCATGCCCAAAACACATAAGGCCGGTCCTTTCGAATTTCGGTTCCAATGACACAAGCAGGGCCCGGCATGGCCCGGTGGCTAGGGCGCTCGACTCGCAATCTGAGGGTCGCGGGTTCGAATCCCCGTCCCATCAAACATATTCGTGGGGGCGTTATAATGTGACGGTCAATCCCGCCATTCGTTGGTAAAAGATTAACCCAAGAGTTGGCGGTGGGTGGG